TTTCATACCGCTTATCTGTCTTTACATTCTGAGGAATGTTGAAACGTTTAACTTAAAAAAGAGAAAGCTGTGTGGATCGCTGGTGTGTGTGTCACATTGAACATTACGTTGCGGCAGTTGTGTCTGGCGTCGCTATGTTTGTTTGTTTGTTTGTTTATTTATTTATTACAGGGACAGTGCATATTCATAAACATTTCTGTCAATATGCCAGAATTAGCCTAAAGGCTATTTTTCACGACAAGCTATGTACTATCTCTGGGTACTATCTGTATCTGAGTTTGCGCTATGGTAGCTTTTTTCGGCAAGGCAGCATAGATCGTCAGAACACCGGCAACAGTTCAACGTTTAGTCCTGATGGTAAGATGTGGAACAATGATGTTGTGTGGTTGTGGACTTGTGAGTAACTTATACCATCTGCTAGTTTGCGGTCGCAGTCTGATGCGGCTTTGATTTGGATCACACTACCTTGTTTCTTACGACCCGCCCTTCTCTGTTTCTGACTGGCTAGTAGTCCTTACCTGGGAACTGCGCATGTGCAACTCCCAACAAAGATTTTGTACAAGTAAGATGCATCACTCTGTAGCTCAAGAGCGGAGCGTACAACACAGGGTGAAAAGAGGAGCTGCAGCAATGTGCAGTATGAGAAAAATATGGTGTTTTTTCAAAATTAAACCATGTAAACCTGTTCTGGTACAACCCCTAATTAAGATTTTGAACCTGAAAATGAGCATAATACCACCTCTTTAATACATCATAGTGTCTGAATCTACCATATTGGTGAACACTCAATTCTTACTAGATATGTTGACACTAATTACAAAATTACTTTGTACAAATTCACATCATCATCAAAGTTCCTGTGTGTGAGAACTGTTTGAAAAAATAAAAACATTCACTAACTAACAAACTATCTGGTAACTGATGCCAACATCAGCAAAAAAGCTGTTGATGAAGTTCCAAAACTGAACAATGCATAACTTTCTCAATCAAACCTGTAGCTGTTTAAAAGCAAGGTTGAATTTAAGGCAGCTGAACTTCTTCTGAAACGTCATTTACAACCAAGTCCAGTTGCTCTCGATTAAACTTTTCTTGGATGACCTGGATGAATCTTTACAGATGTGTAGGTTTGTCTAGCCCGTTCTCTCTCTTGTTCTCCCTCTCATGGTACATAGGGGGTTTAGTGGAGCCTGAAGATCTGCAGTGATGTTTTAATAAACCAAACATTAAGCCAGATGTGTTGTGTGTTCTTTCTTTGTGGAAAATGTACCTCACATATTTTTTTGTTGTTGGCCTCTTTAGTGATTGTAAGGTTGCTCCTGTTGACCTGAGTCAATCATTTTTTCCTCCTCTCCATGTCAGCTGGGAAACCATACATTCGTACTCCTTTTCCTGACCGACTGCAGCATCGCCACACCGTACAATAAACCGTGCTGTAGACACAAACCACTTAGCCGGACTCAGTGGATTTTAGCCGTAATGGTGTCTGAACAGGAGGGCTCGTCACAGATGAGGTCATCAGGTGAAAGGTCATCATGTGGGTCATTTTATTTACTGCAAAATTATTAATTCATTTTACTGATTGGGCAGGCCTTCACAAAAGGGCAGAAGAGGAGGTGCTCAAGCACCCATCGCACTCCCTTCACCACATGAGTGAGACATATGGACACGCTTTGTCAGCTATCTGTCTTCCCATTGTCTCTGCTTTTTTTGACTTAGAGTTTTTAATGGTTGGTAGGTACAGTATTTGTCACACCTCTACATGCATTGTTCAAATTTAAAAATTATGAGGTTCTGGTGTTTATGAGGCCTACTCTTTTCATTTTCAGTCTTCAGTGTGCTTCATATTGGCCCTCTGGCTGCATTCCCTCTGTTGTGATGGGACGGGATCGTGTGTTTTGCTGGGAGGTATGTTTTCATGGTTTGTGATGTATTGAGCGATATGATCCCTGACTAATTTGTTGCAACATTGCATGATGTGCTCACAAGCATGTCTCTCACTTTCTATATATGTGTCAGGTATTTGATGTGTACCATTCAAGGCTTTCAGCCTGGTTTATGTGTCTCATTCTGACCATACAACATAAAAAAAAACATCTGCAGCCCAACTTTAAGAGCTCTTTTACATATAACTACAACCATGCAATTATAGAGTACAGAAGGGCATTAAAAAGGTACGCACACAAGGTACACTTATGTAAGTACAGAGGCTAATGGCTTGTTTGTCTTAAAATAAATACTGGATAATAAACTGGAAATGTAGCCTACAATGCCCTCATATGGCCAATGTGAGAAAATACAGCAATTTAGTTCTTTTATATGGCCTTAACTTTAAATAAAATGCTTATTCTTACTACAAGTAAACTGCAATGCTATCTAGATGCTACAAAAGTAAAATAAGATTATTAATGTTCATTTTAAATGTGACACACTGGCCTACCACTAATGGAGGGATTACCATATTGGCCTACAGTGGGTCTAAGAGGTGCTTCTGTTTGAAGTGACGCTTCTCCCAATCTCTTCTTTTTTGCGCCCGATACCAATCCAAGTGCTTTCATACAGAGAATATGAATAAGGACACCACGTCCTGCAGCAGAAGACCTACGTTACAATTAGTAAAATAAGAAATTTAAAGATGTTTAGTATCAGTACAGATCCTTCTTGAGAAAAAATAACCTGCATCTCAGGTTTCCTTTGTGATTCTATATACATTGTTGTATATATATATATATATATATACACAAACTATATTATAGTTTCTTGTATATTCTGAATGAATGTGTGTATATCAGCTTTCAATAAAGCAGGACTGCTTTTCCAGAGACTATGTTCCATTCCTGGTAACAGACTGTGCCCAATTCCTTCCATTGAACCAGCCAAATGACCTTCCCTGCAGCTAGGCTGGGAGAAATGGAATAGACAATGGGAGAGCAGGATGAGGCAAATAGTGAGGGGTTCAAACCCCCAATTAATATAAGATTGAGACATGGGTTTCGAGTGGAAGGATGATTTATTTAATATATATTCATTTAAATATCAGCATTTGGGGCAAATTTATTCATTACACAAGCTCAGACAATAACAACAAACAAGATGTAGATGCCAATGCTGTCAGAAATGCTAAAGGATAAAAGCAAAGTTTTAAAAACACCTCAGCATCTACAGAAACCAGCCATGCAGGGGATAAACTGTGGGCCACCCGGGTGCCTTAACACCACTATACTCACACTGGTGTGCAGCCACCTAAACACAGCAAGTCAAACACACATAAACCACACAATAAAACTAAGTTATACATGTGCACACAGCTATCATACACACCACCACATGCAGTGAAGGGGAAAGGGGTTCCCAAAATCCACTACCCTGTCTGTCTGAACACTAAAAAGAGGGGAAAAGGGCTAATATACTGAGGGAAATCACACAGCCAAAAAAAGGGAAAATAGCCACACCTGTAGCAGACCTTAGCAGTTGCACCTGCTAAATACCTTACAGATGATATTTACCTCGAACAATGCAGTAAATAGTCAAACCAACTCTGACTCCACCTCATTTATCGATCGGACATTTAGGGCCACTGCAACGTAAATCATGTTATCAAAGGCCACCTATAAACACACAAACTAGTAAAGGTCCACTAGATAGCATCTTTTTACCTCAGGGTTATCAACCTCCAATTCCTTCTCTGCTGTGAACTTTAGCATAACAGGCTATGCGGCCTACAGGGTCTGGACAACAGGTCCAAATGCAAATGCCTGTGATGAAAACAAATTAACACATGTTCACAAAAGTTGATCTGATGCAGTAAGCCTATTTTAATTACGAGGAAGCTAATTACTGTTCATGATTCATACATTTTAACCACACTGTCAACTCCAATCGTATGGTAAGAGATTTTACCTGAGAAGTCTTTGCAAATTATTAAACAGAAATGAATGCCTTGTTTTGGTTACTGAATTTCTTCAGTTTTTTTGACAGCAAAAAGGAGGAAATGATCTTAACATGTACAAACAAAAACACAGCGACCTGGTGAAACCTCAGCGGTGAAATATGCACAATGTCCAGTTCCTGTATGTCACAGGCTATGGTCTGGAAATCAGAGTGCAAGCCGGTTTCCTTAAGTGTGCCCCTCACTCCACCCCACATCTTATTTCCTCCATACCCAAACAAAAGCTGCTTCTCTGGGACAAGCTTGCATGCAAACTCTTTGGCCGTCAGCATGTCTGTACAGGGTACAGAGCACTTCAGCTTCAACAGACGGCATACAAGCAACATGCACAGAACTCACCTAAACATTTAAGTCAAAACTCAGCAAGACATGACGCTTTACTGCACTTAACCAAAAATATAAGCAGTGTTCATCACTACCCTCCAGCTTTGATCTGGCTGTTGGGTAGGAGTGGTTTCCCCAGGTGGGTTCCTACTGTCAGAACAAACTCCTTTTCAGCATATTTCAAATGAGCTTCAGCTGGGAACTTCTCCCCATCAAAAGCAATCTGAGAATAAGAGGAGAGGGGCGTTTCTCCCAAGAGTTCCACCATCTGACAGGTCACATCCAGGATACCATTCTAGAGATGGGATACATGTGCTTTGAGTGCACTGTAAAAGGCAACATGAGGCCATTTCAGTCTAAAGAAGTTTATAGTAATTGATGCAGGAGAAAATTCTTTGATCAAGTCACATGGGGTTGAGAGAGCAGGTACCCTGACAGAATGTTCTTGAAATTCTTAAGACTGGGTGACAGTGAGCAATACTGAACTAAGTGTTATAGCCATTAATAATGAATCTTGCCTAGAAGATCCCAGCAAAGCTTGAAGATAAGCATGTGGCCCAGTACATTGTCCAGAAACAGCAGTTAAAGACTTCTAGTTCAGACACACTGGTGGGTTACTTCTGAACAAGCTAGAAGTATTGTGCAAACACTGGCCACTATTGAGTCTGTCACCCTGAGGACTCTTTTGGCTGTACTCGTCATAGTGCAATAAACTTGCCAAGACAGTAGATGTTCTTAGACAGCTTTTATTCATCATAGTTGAATGACAAGAGATCTTGCAGTCTTTAGACTCCAGCTTTCATCTGGTTGTTGGGTGGTAGTGGCTTGCCCAGGTGGATCCCCACAGTCAGTCCAAACTCCTCAGTGGCATGTTTCTCACAGACGTCAGGCTTAAGCTGGAAGCCCTTCTCCCTGTCGAAGCAGTCCAAAGGAGTGAAGGAAAGTGGTTTTTCCTCCAGGAGGCCTTGCAGTCTTTTACGCCAGCCCTCCAGCATGGTGCCTCGCACCTCAGAGGGAACGTGAGACGGAGCCCAGAAGATCTGAGGGGCCAGAACTTGGAAGCCACAGTAGTGCAGGATGCCATTCTGGAAGACGGTGGTGATATGGTCAAATGTTTACCACAGTTGATAACCCATTAAATGCTTTGCCAAGTCAGTTTATGCTGGGCCAGTACCTGCAGCGGCCACAGTGTGACATTCATGTCTCCATTAATGCCATTTGCACTGAACATGGACTCGTGAGACCCAGTGGTGAAGGACAGCATGGCTTTCTTGTCCTGTGCAGAAAAACCAATTCAAACAAGCCAGAGACACACCCCCCGTAATGCAAGCCTCTTGATTTGGTCCCTTACCTTGAAGATGCCCTGGCTATACCTCTTCTCTTGGGAGTAAGCGAAGCCCAGTGTGAGCACCCGGTCAATCCAGCCCTTCATGATTGCAGGAAAACTGAACCAGTACATGGGGAACTGAGAAGAGTTTGAGTTAGTTTCAAGCACAGGGCTTGGGCTTAAACATATTAGTCAGTCAGCCTGTACCTGAAAGATGATGAGGTCTGCTTCAGTGAGTTTGCGTTGTTCTTCGGTGATGTCAGCAGACAGTTTTCCAGCCTCCCATGCTAGTTTGGTCTCCTCTGCGTAACAGAAGTGATCTGCATTCTTAACTTCTCCTGTAGAGACAAAGTAAATGTTGCCTGAAATTATGGAGAGCAACTAAAGCAAAAAAACTGCCAGGTTTAATGCCAGTGAGATATTGATATACCAGTGATGTCCTCAGCAGTAGCAGAGGCTTTAAACTTCATGGCATATAGGTCAGATATTTCAGTTGTGTAGCCCTTCGTTCCAAAGACTTCCACAGCAGCATCTTTAGCTGCAGCACTGAATGAGCCAGAGCTCTGGTGGCCATACACAATAAACACTTTCTTTCCTGCTAAACCAAGAATTAAATATTAGAACAAGTAGAACTCATAATTTCCAACCATAACACACTGGCAAGAACACAGAGCAGAAAACCTCACCCATTCTGGAGAATATGAACAACTAGCTGGTCTGTTAATGGAAAGAACTGCTCATTCCGGAGCAAAGCAGAAGATGCTATTTTTATACTGCAAGCCTTCTGGAGCATTTGCACTCTCTCAGGTGCTGTCAATCAGCAATCAAGGTCATCAATCAATCAGCTGAGCTTGGGTGATTCTCTCTCAGGAGTCTCATCAACATATCCACATATCTTTTTCTGAACCTAGTCAACATTTTTTAATGGGGAGGGGAATTTTTGTAAACGCAGGATAAGCTTACAATAGTACTCTCGAGCCTATGTCGTCTACTTGAAGGCAATGTGTGCTTTTCTCATTTTAGCCTACCCAGAAAGAGACAGAGACAGAGTATATGTTTGTCTGTGTTTTTGTGTCTTTTATACAGTAATCGTGTGGATATTTGAGAGCATGCGTGTCTGTGTACAAGATGTTTTAAAAATTGTGTGCCACTCCTGATGTCTTCAAACCACATGAAGCAGATGTGGCTGAGTGATCTTCTCACTCTACTGTTACTGGTTTCCAGTGCTGTTTTCCTTTGCATTACTTTCCTCTTGTAGTGTACCTACATATGATTTTAATAAAATTATGAATGTCAATATTTCTCCTCGAAGGGCACCACCTAAAGATTTGCTGTTCGCCCAAGGCTTTAGGAGCTTGAGTATAGCTTGATAATTACACGAATTTCTGGTAATTTTTGGTAGTTATTAATGGTTCAGTTATTCTAAAATCGTTAAGTTTAATCAATCAGTCAGTCTCAAATCTGAGAAGGAATCCTCTGTACAGGGACCCAGGACGCTAAACAGTACACACACACAAATCAATATAATCAAGGAGAAATTTATTGACTAACTAAAGGGAATACAACGGTGTGAGTAAATATGGGAATATTACAGGAATAACAGTCAAACATGAAACAAACCAGAAGGTAATGAACAGAATATGCAATAAGACAAAATCAGTATAATAGGCTGGATGGAATTTCAGTTTGGTATTGTGGATGGAAGAGAATGAGGGAACGAATGGTCATAAATTATGTTGCAAATTTTAAATAAACTAGGGGTTTCTTAACTAAAGATGAGGACCAACTATAGGACACCAACGAGTCACAGAATGTGATTTGTTTATGCCTTATTGTTGTCATAATTCCCCGTGGCAAAGGCTCACTGCCGGTTTTGGCTTGTTGTTGTTGTCCGGGCCCGGCTGGGTTGGCACCCCAGCGGCGTCTCGAGCTGGTTTTAAACCGGTGGATTTGTTCCAGAGTCCTATGCGGGAAAACGCTTGCACCAACGGGCAAGACGGTCAGCCCTGGCTTTGCGCTCTGAGTTCGTTTGGTGTCGCTATAGCTCAGCGGAACACACTCCAGACTCTGTCGTTGGAGCCGTGACTTCGTTCAACCCGAGGTGAGAATTAAACGAGTTTCTGGGTTTCTGGGTCAAAAGTTGCGTAGAACGGTCGGATAACGTTAAAATAACAAAATCAAATAAGACACATACATTCGCCGTAGGTTTGCAAGGCCCTGGGAATATAGGCTATTTAACGTTGCTGAGTTTAAAACAAAAGTCTGGGGAAAGTTTCGTCCCAGGCAGCTCCAAACAAAAGTCAAAATCAAATCTCCTGCTGAGAAAAATGGGGATTCAAAACATGGAACTTTCTCAGGTCGTCTGAAGGAAGTTGAAAGTAGCCTACAAAAAGAGCATTATCAGAATTTTACAAGAGAGTTACAAAAGTTACAAGAGAGCGTAATTACAAGAGGATACACGAGTTACACGAGGATACAAGAGCATACAAGAAAAAGGACTTTTAAACGCTTGTGTGTTATACCTTTTCTGTCCTCTTGGTGGAGCTCTGATTCCATGCAAGGACAGTGGATACGCAACTTAAAACTCAAACTCTTGAACTGGGAACTGGGAATTGGATTATAACACAAGAGGAACGTGCGGATGCACGTTTTAACAAGAAATTATATAAGAAAACATTTAGATAAAGTATTAGTTAAACACTAAACAGACAGTGATTACTATGGGATAATAGGGAGAAATTAGGAAACTCTTCAAGATTACTTTCTTATGGTTCTTTAGCTTCAAACATCATACTAGAGGATAACAACATGATAATTTCTACTCAGATCTAAGAGGCAAACGCCATTACTAACTTAACAAGGACTATTATTTAAACAGAACAAAACACAGTTTAGAAAGGAAAAGGTTGTTGGCTCAAGAAGGCAGGAATTGTTAGTGTCCCTCCTTTCACAATCCTGTGGCTTTTCACATTTGCACATCAGCTAGAAGAAGAAGAGAGTGGTGTTTTATGACCTCAACCATGCTGTGGGAAAAGGTTCAGAGTGACACAGGACGGCATGGCACGACTTTTGATGTCAGGCGGTAACCTGTGGGGGAGAAGGGGTTGAACTGCCCTTTTGCTGTCCTGCAGAGTGTCTTCAGTGACACCTTTTCGGCGAGAGGGGTTTGGAAAGTTCTTGAATACACAATCCTTAAGCGATGCATGTCTGATTGAGTCTATGCAGGTCCTTACCAAAACATCAGGCGATGTCTCTAGTTTTGCATGTCAACAGGCCAGCTCAAAGGGGAGAAAGGAAGAACCCCCCCTTTGGCCGAATCTGATCTCACCTCCTGATTGAGATGAGGGCTGGTTGACACACTACAGTCCCCCCTTTCGAACAGATATTCTAACAGCTAACAGCCTTGACTGAAGGTTTTAGCCCTCGTCTTAAAATTATTTTAATAGAAGAAGCGGCTTTTATTCCTGAGAGGGACTGTTTGAGTTACATTGTATCGAACCCGTTTGATCGGGTAATAGTTTATTTCTGCAGTTGCTGTAGCAAGATGTCTGCTCTGGAGCAGGTATTCCTAATTGATAAAAGGAGCGATAGATTTGGGCATGTTAAACCCAGCAGCAGCTCACTTGGTGGGTGAAAATCTTGTCAGAAAATTGGTTTTCAATTCAATTAGTTAGAGACCCCCACTCTGAACTTAGTGGTAGGTGAAATTTCAACTGGGGAATACAAAATAGTGGCTCGAGCCGTGGGTGGCGGACCGTAGTGAAAGAAACCTGGCTTCAAGTTATGTTTTACTCAGCATGCACACAAACTTTAATACGACCTTCCTTTAACAACTAGCAGTTATCGTCCCTATCGTCCTCGTTGTTGAGGATTTCTATTAATTGTTAATTTATTAGGACGTTATCATTCCCGACGAGTCCCATGGGGTATTTGTGTTGCTTGATTTGGCTGTGGTGAACCCATTTGAAGATTGGCTCTCTCTACGGCACTTTTGTACCTTGATCTGGTACACAACTGGTGAAAGTTTATCTGTGATCGCATGAGGGCCTGTCCACTGGGGAAAGAACTTTTTGCAAGTCTTCCTGTACCCTGGCCGTCCTCAAGTGTGATCGACAGGTAAAATTTTCGTGCCACTCCCTTTTCAGTCAGGTGACACAAGAACTGTTGCGCTGGGGGGAGATGCTTCCCTCGCCAGTGCACAGGACTGTTTTGGTGCGGTCGCCGGTTCTGTCGACATGTTAGCCTGGAGTGGTGGACTGGATACATCGGGTCCCCAATATATATAAATGTAAATGCTCCGTATTCGTAGTGCCCTTCTAGTCTTTTCGACCACTCAATGCGCTTTTTACACTACATCTGCATTCACCATTCACACACATTCATTCACTGAGCCTAAGGCTCAAACAGAAACTAATATTCACACACATTCATACACTGGACAGCCACCAGAGGCAATTCGGGGTTCAGTATCTTGCCCAAGGACACTTTGCTTATTGGGGGATCTCTGGTGTGTAACTCTTTGAGATCGCCTGTTCCAACTAGAAAAGTTTTGTGATTCGCGCTGGTTGTGTCCACCCCCTCTTTCTCGAAAGGACCGATTTCCCCAGCGGCTGGTCGCATACTGGAGCCGGTGGAATTCAGTTCTCTGGTAGTTCTGTTCCTTGTCAGCCCAGGGTGGCCGCGGGTAGCCACAACCTTGATCAGGTCGTCAAGGCGGCACGTGCCTCTGATACTGAGTCTGCTGAGAAGCCTGTGATGTATGAGCGGCGGAGGCAGGTGGTTCACCACCCAAAGCTGCTCCCAGCTCCATATGGAGGAAGTTGGGGTTGATGTTTAAGACTCTCCGAGGCTCAGAATTCCGAGTCATAGTATGTCTCTGCTTTTCTAACCCTTTCGTGGCTAACCCTTGTAGCTGTCGACAAGTTTGGGTGAGGGGGCATGCCGCGACACTCAGACGGTACCTAGTTGTGGGATGGAGGTTTTGAATGAAAAGGCATTTGAATTTTACCTCTTCCTCCAGCTCAAGCTCGATTTTGATACCAAAGTACGCTTGCCACAGGCGGTGATAATACTACTGAGGGGGTTCTGACCACCCTTGCTTAACATCCATTGCAGCTGCTAAGCCTGTTTGCGAGCCCAGGTCAGAGTATCCTTCCACCATGGTTTCCAGTGGGATTAGTGGGAGTGTTCGTGAGGACCAGTCTTCTGAGGCTGGCCAAGGGGAGCGAGCTCTGGGAGCTGTTCAAAGGGGTTTGTTTGTTGGCCTATCTCAAGTGAGAGTTGGAACTCTCCTCTGGCGTCGGCCAACTCCTCCTCCATGATTTCCTGCTGTTGTCACGATCCTGCCCTGAGCTCGTCTGGGTTATATTATTTTGGCCATGCCTTCTCTGTGTTTTGATTTTGGTTTCTCTTTGTCTGGGTTTCAGTCCTGTCTGTCTGTGGTCTTGTATCCAGTCTTCTGCTTGTTCTGTGTGGTGGTTCTGATCTGTCCTGTTATCTCGGTGTCTGCCTTAGTACTTGTTTAGTCCTGTTCCTGTCCCTCATGTGTTAGATCTCTACCATCATGCTTGGGTTCTGTCTGTTTGTTAGATGTCAATTTATGTTCTCAGCCAGTTTCATTATTAATCCGATTTTGATCATTTTGCTTTAGTCTCTGTGTAGCCTTCATTATGTCATTCATCCGCACCTTTAAGTTACTTCGTATCTGCCTTGTCTCATATCCTAGTTCCAAGTTGGTGTCTTAGTTCTTAGTCCTGTACCTTAGTTCATGTCTGAAGTGTTTACTCCTGCTCTGTGTACTTCTGTGTTGTTTTGCCCATGTCTGCTCTGAGTTTTGTTTTGTCTTTGCTTCCATCTGTGTTCCTTGTGATTAGTGTATTTGTATTCTGTCTGCTTGTGTCTGGATTAGTTTGTTATTTTGATTATTCTGATCTGTTACTACTTACTTTGACATGTTTGGTGTTCAGTACTTGCATCTGTTCACCTCCAGTAATCTGCCTGTCAGCCAGTCTCTCTATTTTCCCCTTCTGTCTCTCTGCCTCGTTAACCCTGATACCAGTCACCTGTGTAGCTCCCGCCCTGCTCGTTAATCCCTGTGTATAAATGTTTGGTGTTTCTGTTAATTCCCTGTCTGGTCATTGTTGCATGTTGCATGTATGCTCTGTCGTAAGTTCAATTGCTTAACTTCTGCCACTAGTGGTGCTGAAGTCTATTTAATGCAGGGTATGTAATTATTCCGCCAGCCAGTAGGGGAGCTGTTTCGTTCAATGGGCCTGTCCCGCCACATGGGGCGCTGTGGGTCGGTCTGTTTCACAACTACACTCTAAAGAAACCGTTGCCTGTGGTCAAGCCCACTCACGAATGTTGCCCTTTAAAAAAATATAAAAAAAATTGACTCAGCAATGAACATCAAAGGCAGACATGAGCTGGCACACATCTGGGACCAAAATCAGTCCTAAATCAACCCATCTATCAAGACACCATGAGGAGGAGGGATTAGGGAATAACTACGCTGCAAATGCTCACATGCATGCAAGCACACCACACAGGGCAAGGATTTAAATAGGGCTGTTCTCAAAATATTGATATAGAAATATATCGTTATGTATTCCTTGCTGATACGCATATACAGATGCTTCTGTATCGATACGGGAATACTGGAAATACCCAGCTCTAGCTTTAAAACACTGTGGACTGACATAACAGAACAGTTGCTGTTGAGGGGTTGCTGGGGTTGCTGGGGATGCTGCTGCTGCTGCTGCTGCTGCTGCTTTGTTGCTGATACTACTGGAGGTGATCTGTGACTAGAGATATTTCATACATTTTCCTGAAATCTAATAGGGCCATTTCTTCTTCACTCTTTACTTTGATGTCAGGAATATTATTTATTTTACATTGGAACTGACATTTCTATATTTATTTCCAGTCATTGAGTTTTTATTGTAGCTGAGCTGTTGTAAACACTACTGTTGCTGTCAAAATGTAAATATATTCCACTGTTCTGAATTTAATGGTAATTTTTGAAAAAGGGCTGATAAGTAGGCTATAAGTCGGAGGAATAGGCTTAGTATCAGTATAAGCCTGTTTTACCAATGTTGTTAT